TTCGTTGAATGCCTTTTGGATTATGCAATGCACCTGCAAAATTTCAAAGATGTATGATGTCAACATTTAGTAATTTGATTGAGCATGGAATAAAAGTATTTATGGATGATTTCTCTGTGTTTGGGACTTCATTTGAAATATTCTTAAATAATTTAGAAAAAGTTCTGAAATTGTGTGAAAAAATTAACCTAGTACTAAATTGGGAAAAATGTTAATTTATGTTTGCAAGAGGAATTGTACTTAGGCATCAAATTTCTGAAAATGTCATAGAAGTAGATCTGTAAAAATTTAAGTTATTGAAAAATAACCACCACTGACTACGGTCAGAGGGCTACGGTCAGAGGGGTAAGAATAGTGGGGAAAGATGGTTTTTTGGACTTGATAGTTTCTACAGACATTATATAAAAAATTTTTCAAAAATAACTAAGTCATTATGCTAACTTTTAGAAAATATACAAAATTTGAATTTAATAAGGAGTGCATAAAAACATTTGAATTATTGAAAGAAAAATTAATCACTGCACCTATAATAGTCCCACTTGATTGGGAAAAACCATTTGAAAATGTGCGATACTAGTGATTATGCTATTGGAGCTGTGTTAGGACAAGTGCACAACAAAGTTTTTAAAATAATATATTATGCTAGTAAAACTCTAAATCATGCTCAAATTAACTGCACTATTACTGAAAGAGAGTTATTAGCTATTGTCTATGTCTTTGATAAATTTAGACATTACTTAATTGGAATTAAATGTATAGTGCATACAGATAATTCTGCTATTAAATATTTAATGCAAAAGAAGGATCTTAAACCAATGTTAATAAGATGGATACTTCTAGTTCAAGAGTTCAATTTTTCTGAAGTTGATAGAAAAGGAAATGAAAATCAAATAACTGATCATTTGTCTAAGAAGTTGTCTTGATGAGTCTAAGAAAAAAAATATTAATTAATTTTGCAAATGAAATTTTAGAAAATTTCCCTGATGAACAATTATATTGTATTGATGAAATAGTTACACTGTGGTATGCCGATATAGTAAATTATATCGTAAGTGATATTCTACCGTCATATATTAAGAATCAACAATTTAAAAAAATTTTATATGATTCAAAATTCTATTTTTGTGATGACCCATATTCATAAAAACAATATAAAGATAGCTAGGAGGATACTGACTCCCACTTTAGAGCTTTCACTTCCCTTCACCTGAAGTCTAACTCTAGCTTTAGTTTTTAAACACTAAGACCGAATTGGTGATTTTAGTCTGTCACCCTAAAGATTCTCCAATTCTACACCCAACAAAGTATATTTTCCTATTTATTTGCACTTAATTCCACGAACAAAATTGTCCTTTATGGAATCAAATGTGATCCTCACTCTATTGTGGAACTCATACTCCATTTCTCGGATCATATATTTCACAACACATTTTAACAATTCAATTGGTCAGATCGAAAAGTAAATTAAGTTCGGAGTTGAAAAATGATCACAATTTATTTTATATTTTAATATTGACACATCCATATTTTCTCATCATTTCACAATATCTCAAAGTGGGGAGAAAAATAAAGGAAACTACTCAGACTTTATGAGAAAGATACAACAAAACACAAATTTTATATATAAAAGAAAGTTCATATCTATGAAGCTCCTATGAACAAATTATCTACCTAAATAAGCATCTTAAACTAAATGAATGCAAATAAAAATAAAATTAATTCAAAAGCCTAGAGAAATTAATCATTTGCATTCATATTGCTTATCTGCCTTATTTTCATGCTCTTCTGCCATTATGTATTCAAGGTTAACCCGATATATAAGGATGTGAGGCACTTCTCAGAGATTGTTGTATCAAAAGTTTGCCTTAGTTACACTTTAAAATTCAATCACGTAAATTTTTTTTCTTAAGAAAAAACAATAGAAATTGTGAGTTATTATGTTAGCTAAAAGCATTGCACACCAGACACAATCAAGCAACTTGATTCTAGTGGTCAATTTGCAAGCCATGTCTCCTAAATAAAATATTTGTCTTCCTTAGCTTGATTCATTAAGCCAAACTATATGATTTGAAAATAATTATGTGGGTTTAATTGATTATTCTTTTTCGGTAGAACTATAAATTTAATGGAGTCTAGTTTTATTTCAATTCTATGTAGAAATGAAACTAGAAGTTTTTTGGAATATCATTAGACTTAAATTTGATATTCCACTTTGACATTAGTTCTCATCTTAGTTTAGAATTTGAGATACATGATTTCTCTTTGCTATATCATAAATCCTTATCTCTTGGATCTTTCTTTACTCTTGTGTCATAATAACATAAATCTCAAATTTTTAATAGAACAAAGAATTAAAATAGAAATCAAATTTAAATTTTAAAACCTAAAAGAAAGTTTAGAGTATTACTAAGCTCTTCAATATCTAACACTTCTTTATTTAATTTTGTGTTTGAAAAGAACTGTTCTAAAATAAATTAATTATAAGAGTTTATCTTTTAGTGAAAATATGCACCCTACAATAAACTAGACCATATCTTGCCTAAATGGCATAGGAGAAAAATCCCTGGATCACATAGACACTATTTCTTTATCTTTATTTTGTGGTTGAATCTATTATAAAATAATATTTTTATCTTTCAAAATAATATAATATTTTTAAAATCGTATTTGATAAGTTTAATAAAATTTAAAAATTTGTGTGACAATAAAATTTTCAATATTATTTTCTAGTAACTTTATTGGGTTCAAACATTAAATTTTTTTCTTAACAATCATGGAAAATATAGTGCACTCCGTCAAACACAACCCTCCTTTGAAAACCATGAATCGACCATGATTGCTTCATTGACATAGCACAACTGCGACAACTCATTAGTCATATAACCACTATCAACCAACCATTATTGCTCTATTTTCTAATCATCATCACTAGTCTTCACTATATCTCTAATTAATATTCTCACAACAGTCAGAAGATACTAAGCATATATCTAACATTTTTTAATCCCAACTACTGTAATTGGAATTATATAGTGGATTATTTCAACTACCACCATAATTTTTCCCTTCCCAAACTTTTCACATAAAAACTCTGATATCTCCATTAAAACCTCTTTTACATGTTTGTAAAATC